ATTTGCTGTTGCGATACTAAACTTTCATAAGGACCTATTACCTCCCTAGACTATTTAATACCGTATTTTAAACATACATATTTGCCCATGTGGACATAAAAAATAATGCAAAATTATAAATAGTAATGTGTCCACGTGGGCACATATATACCTTTAAAATACACTATTAAATAGTTCAGGGGGTAAAAAATACGGTATTAAATAGTCTAGGGAGGTAATAGGTCCTCATGAAAGTTTAGTATCGCAACAGCAAATTCGACCAAAGTTGAGGTATTTTTCAGACCCTTATCCCTTATATTAATATAAAATCGTAATATTGATATTTTCATTTTGTAAATTATTATCTTATAAGATATTGCATTAGTTATTAAATTAGAAACTCTAATTTAAGAAGAAGAAAAAACCAAATATTTAGCCTAACTAAAATTCACTCAATTAAATGGCCCAAGAAGAAGCCCATTTCGACAACACACTCTTACACCCTTCCACCACATAAGAGCCATGCAAGCAACCACGTTGGTGCCTAAGGCTCTAATGTTCCAAAACATACGTCAAATACATGCTTGCCACACGTCTACCTATGTCTTCCATGACCAACACATGCCCTGCCATGTGTCTCTCTACTATTTATTGGTCAATTCAAAATTAAAATCATAAGACCCCAAATTACTTGAACTACATGTTCTTCCCTCATTTAATCTACCCAAAATGACCTAAATGCCTCTTAAATCTCCTAACGTTTTTCTCCTTCTTCCATCTTTGGAAATAATTCTTTTACTCTTTCTCAAAAAGATAACAATCAACCATATTTTCTCCTTTTCTTTCCTTTTCAGAAAAATTACGAGGCTCATCAGTCATGGACATAACTTTCTTTCTTCCATTTTCATGTTATATCCATGTCAAATCAAGTGGAGGATAAAATCTGTCAAAATCACAATGTTCAAACACCAAACATTTCTTTTTAACTCGATTTGGAATTCTCAAATTAAAAACATCCTGCCAAAAAGAAATCTATTGAAACCTATTTTATTTTATATAACTATCAACCCTTGATATTGACAAAGGGGTCAGTTTTTGGATGATTTTTTCCTGTCACAAAAGATACAACCAAAGCTGCCCAAAAACACCTCTATTATGCTCGAAAATATGCCGACGTTTATTGTTTTCACTGTCCCTGAATTTTGTTGCGTGATCAAGGCTGAAATAGTTCAAGTTCGAGGGTAGAATCGAGGTCAAGAGAGCTTCAGTTCACTCTTAATCTCGATGAAACAATGTAATTAAAGTATTTTCATTTATCTTTAATTGTATGTAATTCAATGTATTATACTTAATTTTATTTATAAATAATAAATGATATCAGTTTTGATACTAATTTTGACTTTAAAAATAATAATTAAAGCATGCAAGTTATTTTTTAATTTATGAAAAATTTGAAAATAAATTATATTTTTTCCTGTCTAAACTTATTATTATATTAGTGTTTGGGAGTAAGCATTGAACATGTACTTCATATTAATGTGTACAAATATTTAATGAAAATATGAATTTGAAATACACTATAAGAAAAGTGCGAATTACATGGGGATATTTCTGGAGAATATTATCACAGGTAACACTTGTGAATTTTCTTGGAAAAATCTTAAATTCCTCGATATTAGAATATATTACATGTGGAATGTATATTCCCAACAAATTTCGCAGCTAAAGTTAGTGTCATTTTGCACTAAATTAGTTCCTACGAAATTATCTAGGAAAATATATCCGCAGGAATAATATGTCTAGGTAAATCCCTAGGTATATGGACCAAAAAAAAATTAAAAATTCCTTTTTAATCTATAGGAAAATTTCAGATTGTTTGAAAATTATTTTTAGTGATTTACCAATGTATTTTATTACCTTGGAAAATAATTGGAATTTATTTAGGCATTTTATTATCTTTTAGATGGTTGAATTCTTTTACACTTACTTATATTTTTTGATAATAATTTATAAAAACACATAAAAAAAACTTTAGGAAAGTAATTTTTCTTCCTGCTCAGACCAATTCTTTTACATTTTCCTTCTCTCTTAAGCCAAACCCACTAGTAAAGCTCTTACCCAAACCCATTAAGCTTCTCTCACAAAGTCACATGCAGAAGCAGAGATGAAAACAATTGAAAAATTCCGTGTAGATTAAGCTCATCCACGGTTCATCCAAAACTCCAAGATCAAAGCTCTCGGACCTCATGCCTCTCTCCGAGAGGACTTTTTCGAAGTAAAGGACTATAGATCGAGAAGATTTGCTTGCCAATCTACTCAAAAATTGAGGCTAATATGCAAATTTCAAGCTCTGTGAGGTTAAATTTTCGTTTACTGAATCACTTTGAATGAACATTAAGTGATTTGTTTTTGCAAATTTCAAGCTCTGTGAGGTCAATAATTGTTGCGGTTTTAAATTTAGCTCATTTTTTGTTTTTCATTAGTTATATTTCTTCTTAGGTGCTTGTCATGTTGTTAGTTTTTATTTATTTATGATGGCGGTGTTTTGATCTACTGTGCGCACCTCGGGTAATCGTCAAACAGATTGCTACAACCCATGCCCATACATATAGATGGTGGTTGGTGGGTAAACTTGCCACAAATATTGGAGAAGATGAGTGTGTGTACTTATTATGTTTCTTCTCTATAGCTTGTTGAAGTTTAATATCCTGCAAATGGTGTTTGTTCTAGACTCTTCGATTTGTTCTCATCTTTAATTTTTTCTTAGTTGATGTGAGTTTCTGTTTTAATGTGTGGATGTGAGTTGTTGTGCTTTAGATCTTGTACTCTTTTAATGGAAAAATGGTCAGTTTGAAAGAAACTGAAATTTGGTTATAACTATTTTTCTCTTTTTATCTAATTGTGACATATTTAGTCATTTTCCAAAAGTCGTTTTACAGTTTTCTAAGTAGATTTTTAGTGGTATGATAGTTTTCTTGGAAATGTTATATAGTTAGTTATTATAAGTCTATTAAGAGGAAGACAGGAAAGGGAAAATTCAAGATAAAACAAGTCTGCTGTAGCTTTTGCTTTGAGTTTGAGTCTTGTTGGTGCTGGTTTGCTACTTGGTTAGACCATGGGATGACTATTTCCTGCTCTCTAAATCATTTTTCTCGTATGATTGAGATCCATACTAATCAAATAGATGAATATGATATGAATAGATTGTAGAATACGCTTCTACTTCAAACCAGAGGCATGGAATATAGAGCTAAACTCATTGCATCCTCCTTATCTTAATAACCATAGAAAATTGGTTATTAGTTAAGAAGGTTAGCTTCACTTGACATAGGAATGTACCCTGAATAATTATGAACTCCAACTTAGCTCACATTATCAGTAAGATCAAGAGGATGATAAAGGTCCAAATGAAATAATTAAGTGAAGTCAGAAATACTAAGCTTGTTAGTTGCTACCATAAGATTTTCTCTTAGCTAGTTAATTATTTTCTGTCCTTTTTTCAGTACTTAGTTATTTTACTTCATTGTTTATTACTTCCACCCATTTTCGACTATGAAGTTAGGAAGATGCTCAATATTCATCCATATATTATTTGTGCAATTACATTCCTTAGCATGTGTAAAATCTTCAAGTATTTAGGTTAGTAAAGTTGTGTATTTGTTAAATCGAAACTAGTTAAATATAACCCCTTCAAATTTCAATCCGTACACTGACTTCAATTTCCATCAGAGTCCTCCTTATCCAATTCCGACATAGCAGCAACAAACATTTTTGCTAGTCTTGCTGCATTTCCAACAAATTCAGTCCCCATTCTTCTGTACTGAATTTGGACTGCATTGCTTCGAGTTCTTTCAAGCTCATATTTTTTTTTATATCCATGCACATATTTTATTTTGCCAACTTCATATATAACTTAATTCTCTTCTCCTAATTTTAGTCTTAGTCATGATTTTCTTGCTTCAACATTTGAAGATCTTAACTGTGGGATAGTGTTTTCCAGAACCTGGTTACTACGAGGATGGGAAATTTGGTATAAGATTGGAGAATGTGCTTATTTTCAAAGAGGGCAATACTAAGTTCAACTTTGGCGACAAGGGTTACTTGACATTTGAGCTTATAACTTGGGTAAGTTTTTCAGCATTATATTGTTGTATATGTCTATTTTCTCACACTTAGTGGAACACATGCGTAAATATTTTTTCATGTGTATATATCTTGCTACTTTGCACTTTGATGGTCCACAAAAAAGGAAGGAAGTTGGTGTTTTGTTCTCCGCATGTTGTCCGTCTTTCATGCTGAAGATGCTACATGATGTAATAATTTACTCTTTTATGTTTTATTGTTATTGGGTGTAGACACCATATCAGAGGAAGTTGAATGATGTTAGCCTTCTGTGCCCGAAGAGATTCAATGGTTGAACGACTACCACTCTAAATGCTCGGAAATCTTCGCTCCTTACTTGAATCAATCTGAGATGGAATGGCTGAAGAATGCTACTGCACCCATTGCAGCTTGAAACAAGTTATTACAAGTTAATTTCAACAAAAAGAAACAAGAACTATTAGCTCCTCAAAGGGCATCACATATCGAAGGAGAAACTAATTTAGCTAGTCAACTTTCTCAATTAACAGAAATGAATATTTGGGTGGAATCTGTCGGTGGAAAGAAAAAAGGAAGAGTTAAAGGTCTTGGCTCCCTGGGTCGATCTGTAAAGGCATCGTCTAAACAATCAACATCAGCTTTATCGAGAGAAATTTATGAGATGATTAAATCTCGAGTAAATGCTTCCAATGTTGACTTAAATGCTCAATTGCAGAAAGAGCGTCACAAAAATGAGAGGATGAGGAAGGAAAATTAGACTTATTGAAGAAGCATGTATACAACGCATCATCTACAAATGAGCAATCATCTCAAGAAGACAATCAAGCTTATGAGAATGAAAGTGGTGATGACTGTGATAGTGTGAATGACATTGATTCTGCCCATGACAACTTTAATGAAAGTGACTATAATGAGGATTGAGATAGTTTATAGTACTATTTAGGATTCAAATTTGAGTTGTATTTACTATTGATCTTGCGAGTTTCTTTTCATAGGAATTATGAAATCTGGTTTTTGTTGAATGAAAGTGATATAACGTGAATTGTGTTTTTTGTTGGTTATTGCGGGTTTCTTTTCATAGAAATTATCTTGAGCAATATTTTCATATATATCTGCAAGAAATTTCCTTTTGTTTCACAAAATTTCATCTCCAAACTCCTAAGGATTTACTTGGGGAATCGCTTGCGAAATATTTCTACGAAAATCCGCAAGAAATTTCATTTTTATAAGAAATTTTGACAAAAAAATCGCAAGAATTTTTTATAGTTATCGCAGATAAATCCGCAAGTAAAACACCTATGGATTTTAATTCCCCAGGTAAATTACCTAGGGCTTGTATAAATCTGCAGGTAAGAGTTACCTACGAAGGTTTTCCATCGAATTTCGTTTTGCGAGAAAATTTGCAGGTAATCAAATTACATGAGGATTTTACTATATTATCCCAGGTAAATCCCCAGGTAATGAGCACTTTTCTTATAGCTATAATTATTTTGCATAATTGATTTTTCATAACTTGGAAGTTCATTTTTTTAGGTTGTTCTCAACTTTGAAGAAGGTTTGTAGAAGTTTTGGAGTTCCTAAAAAATAAATAACAGTTCACTTGAAAATTGAAAGGTCATTTTACTTGAATGGTCACTTAGAAAATTAAAAGGTTAGATGATTTTATTTTTGTTTTAAAAGTTAGTAACCAACTTTGACTAATTGACTTTTTTATTTAAAAAATCTGCTGATCATTATTTTCAAAAATATAAATTGGCATCACCTAAATTAAATATTATATCCATATATATTATATTGTTTATCCATTACATTCATTAAAATAATTATCAAAAAATGCATAAAAATTGGTGAGCACCAATTTTCTCAATCACTGGCTCACTGCACACTTTTGATACACGTGACATTTAAAAAACTATTTCGTTCAGTATGTCCCCTAATTTGAATATCACAATCTATAAATATAAATTTGAACACTCATTTACTAAACAAAAATAGTTAGCATGATATAAAATTCGATGAACACCTATTTTTATACTAATTTCAATAGTCAGTATACTCATTTCTCACATACAAAAAGAACTTAAAATATCGTTATGCATGTACTTATCTCAGACTATAGATAGTTGCATTTCACTTGAATTTTCACAAGCAACTAAGAAAGCAAAGATTAAATATCATATAATAAAAGATTTTGTTTTGTTCTTTATGATTTTCATGGATGAAATGGATTACCTAATAAGTTTTAACAACGAGATATTGTGGCTATATAAAAAAAAATACATAAAGTAGTATAATTATATTATGACTATGTTAGAAAGGTTGAAGAGTTAGACTTCATTGATTATCTACCTATAAGCATTTCATGTACTAAATGTGAAAGCCACGTATGTCCATTTAGAGGATAATCTCCTCACACCTTTTCCTCTATTAATTTTTTCTTAAAAGTAAATATATTTTAAACGGAGAAGGGTCTAAAGCGCTCCTTAACTATGCGAATTTGTACAAAATTATCTTTCATTCACTTATCGGTCCCCAAATACCCATGATGTTAATCTTTTGGCTTAAAAATACCCTCGATATTAACATTTTACTCATATTTTCCTTTATTTTTAACAGTCACCCCTAAAGTAATTAAATATTTATTTATTATGTTCCTTTATGTGATTGATCCAAATTTTTACCCTTCACACATAAATAATAAAAATCACATATGATTTATATTTTGATCAGGTGCACTTGAAAATAATATTTTAAAAATTATTAATTTCATGATATCTTCCTATTAGCCTATTTTGGAAAGAGTTGGTTTGGTCCTTGTATGGTCAAGCCCAATGAAAGAAAATATGTGGAAGACAAATTTTGTATTTCTTTCTTTTATTTGTGCTTGGAGCCTAGTTTGGCCACCTATAAAAGAATGGTCATTCTTCATTGTTGAAAGCATCCTAAATTCATAACAAAATGCATTAGAAGAGTAGAGAGTTAGTAGAACAACTTTCTTAGATGTATTTGAGATCTCTCCCTTTTCTTTGTTAATATACACACAATTATTCTCTAGTGGACGTAAGATCATTCTGAACCGAACCACGGTAAATATTATTATTCTTTTCTTTTTTTATTATTTTCACGTTTCTGCTAACAATTGGTATCAGAACCAAGGTTATGTCTGAGTATGCTCTATGGCAGCACAGTCTGAACTTCCACATCATAAAAGAATTACTTTAATTTTTTGTATTTTGAAATACTTTGTAGTAGAAGAGAAAAAAAATAAGTAACACTGAGTTTCATGAAGTTTGAAATTGATAGGTTTAGTAGGCGTTACATGGAAGATTCACATGATAGTGTTACTGTGGAGGGAAGGTTCAATACATGCTATTGACAAAAAGTACCCCGATTATACATTGTATTCTGACAAGAAGAAGGTTGGAGGAGATGTGTTGACTGTAATCCAACTGTCCCTTGCACCTAACATGCTTTGTGAAGTGAGTACAAGTACCACAGAGACGACCAAACAGTTATCGAAAAGGCTGAAAGGGATTTACCAGGACCAATTGGTGACAACAAGGATGTTGTAAAAATAATGTCTTCATATAATTAAGATGGAGTCGGATACTTTGTTGCAAGACCATCTAAGTGCATTCAATAAACTTCTGATGGACTTACAGACTGCTGCAACTAAAAAAAATGAGGAGAAACTTGCATGTGCTTAGCTATTATCATTGACTTCAAAATATCGTGATATTGAGAATTCAATTATGTATAGCAAGGAGCCTATCACTCTTGAGCAAGTGAGAAAGCACTTAACTCTTGTGATGTGCAGAAGCATTTTAAAGGAGACAAAGGTGACAAAGCTAGTGGGCTCTTTATGAGAGGACGTACTAGACAACGAGGAAAGAGCAAATCAAAGTCTCATGAGAAAAAATCAATGTGGAGTGTTGGGGCTATCACAAGAAGGGATACTTTGAACGAGATTGTCCTATGTCAAAGTCCAAAGAAAAGGTGAATGCATCCATTGTTGAGCAGATACATGATTTTGATGATGAATATGTACTAACAATATCATGCAATATTGGAGTCTATGACAAAAAATGGGTGTTAGACTCTGGTTGTACTTTGTATATATGACATTCTAAAGAGATTGGTTCAACAACTATGGGACAAGTGGAGGAACCGTAATAATAGGCAATAGTGCAAATTGAAAAAATAGTTGACATTGGTTCAGTTCAAATTCGCTACCACGATGGAATCATGAGGACTATTACAAAAGTCTGTCATGTTCCTGATCTAAAAAAGAATTTGATATCCCTAGGCACTTTGGATAAACAAGGCTACATGTATATGAGCGAATGAGGAACCATCAAAGTGACTAAAAGGTCTTTAGTCATGCCGAAGGCCAAGCTGTAGGATGGCCTCTACACAACCTTTTAGTCATGCCGAAGGCCAAGCTGTAAGATGGCCTCTACACACTAGCAGAGAAACACCATTGTTAGCCCTGTAAATACATTTACATGTAGTTATCTGATGATGACAAGGCAAAATTTTGGCACATGAGACTAGGTTATATAAGTGCATGAGGATAGGAAATGTTGAGCAACCTCAACCTTTTGAATAGTGAAAAGATTAGCACACTTAAATTTTATGAGCATTGCGTCTTAGGGAAGCAGAAGAAGGTCAGCTTTAGCACTGACAAGCAAAAAATGGGAGGGGTGCCAGACTACATCCATTCAGATTTAAGGGGTCCTTTAATCTTCCATCGAAAGAAGGTAAAAGGTATCTTTTTACATTCATTGATGATTTTTCACGAAAGGTTTTGAAGCATTTCTTGAAGGCAAAAGGTGATGCTTTTGAAACATTTAAAGAATGAAAGATTTTGGTTGAAAATCAAATGTACAGAAAAATCAAGTATCTTCGTACATAATGGCTTGGAGTTTTGTAGTGAAGAGTTCAATGAGTTATGCAAGGTTCATGGGATCATAAGACATAAGGCGGTCAGGCACATCACAACAAAATGGAGTTGCTGAGAGGATGATCAATATTGTTCTTGAGAAGACTCATTGTATGCTCTAACAAGCCAAAATGTGCAAAGTGTTTTGGGATGTAACAATTCACACTACTTCTCATATTGTCAATTGATCTCCAACATTAGGGATTGACTTTGAGACTCCAAATAAGGTATGGCCGGGCGAATCCTTTAACTATTCATAATTCTGAAAGCTTGAACCAAGGGCTAAAAAAGTCATATTCGTAGGATATGCAGATGGATTAAAAGGGTATAAACTTTGGTGTTTGTCTTTAGTCAAATTTGTATTTAGTAGAGATGTTACCTTCGATGAACTTGTTGTCAACAAACCAAACATAATTGCGAAGAGAAGAGATAAAAGGCATATACAAAAATTGGAACGTCTTATAGAGAAAGCAAATCTGATTGCATATGCGTTCGTAGCTGCAGAAAAAAAAGATTAAGGATATCGAGCCCTCTTCGTATGTTGAAGCAACTTCTCGCAAGGATGTTTCATAATGA